TGTGCTGCACGAAATTCTTTTCGAGGGATGCAATTCGTTCCATATATTGAGATGATGTCAAAGAATGGAAAATTATTAGAAATTTGTTGTTTGCTGGCGCAGCTAAGATATGCGAATATATCAGCATTTCTGCTAGAGAAATATATATAAATATTTATATATTTTATGATTTTATAATGAAGGAACCCTTAACTCTAGCTGAACTCTAGATTCAGCTAAAGGTTTGTAAATTATGTTCACAAATTGACCACAAAGCTACTAGGCAAAGTCAGCTTGACCTTTCTTTAGATATATATACATATATAGGCCTTGTAACCTATTCACACATTCATAAATTCATTGAATTTATTTTGATAAATAATATCATATTGATGTCATTAATTATCCAATATATTTTCATGGCCAGAAATAATTAAATTAAACTGATATCTAGATTCCTTGACTCTAACAAGCAGCAAATATTCTTCTTCTGCTTTTAGCTTGCAGCCCTGTTGCTGACCCAAACTGTTGGAGAGTGTAATGTCTGTGCAGTCAAAAGCCATGCCATACACGTATTTATGGTAGCTGCGCTCGAAAAGTAATAGCAACATTTTATAAACAACTTATTTCCTTAATTGATTGTTAACAATGATTGCGCCGAGGGGGCCGCACACTTCTTTCACACTGCCACAGCAGCTGCAGTTGTTGTTGTTGCTGTTGTTGTTGTTGTTGTTGTTGTTGTTGTATCTATTAACCACGCACTCCATTATTATTTAATAACATATTTCTTAAGTATCTGCCAACCCAGTTCAGAGCACAAAAACGAGGCTGCTGCTGCTGTTGCTGCTGCTGCTGGCATCGCCTGTTGCCAGCTCTTTGCTTGGCGAACAACTTGACCATAATTTGATGCTGGGGCCTGGCCACGGGACTGGGTGTTGCAGTTGGACTCGTCGTCGTCCAAGTGATTGCCACCCCATTAAAAAAAACGGCTGCGCCTTTGCACTGTTGCTGCTGCTGTTGTTGTTGTTGTTGTTGTCTTGGCTCCTGCCACGATCACTCAATAAGTCTAGACAAAAATGTGGCTGGTGTTGTAGCTCTGATTGTCGCTCGCTTCCCCCTCTTCCTCACTCTCAATCGCTGTCCAGATTCGTGGCCCCCTGCCACCCGTAATGGATCAGCACGTTTTTGTTAAGCTCTTCTTGTTGTTGTTGTTGTTGTTCCCTCTGACTACTTCATGCTCCATAGACAACGCTACGTCATCAGCGGGCTGCCATCCAAGCATCATATTTGTTGCATGATTATGTGGTAATTGCGGCTGTCAATAAAACTCCCCCGTTTATTCTTTATAACCCAAAGCATTCTACGCCTATATTTTATACACACATACACACACATACACACACACACATACACAGATAGACTGAGATAGAGCTGCGCTATGGCTGCTGTGTGTAGCTTTATCTATCTTTGGGTTTTTGGGGCCGGTTGACTGTTGCCTGTTGGCTGTTGCCTGTTGGCCTGTTGGCTGTGTGACTGGCTATAAAAACCCGTCCGGACGGTACCGCACTATGATTTACTTTGACAAAGGAGTGACATACAAGTACTTAAGTGATTTCTTTACACCTTTTATGGAGTAGTTAATGTGGCCATGGTATGCGCGCCTGGCATTGAGCAAAGTCATGCCAAGCGGCTCCCACCACTACTAACCCATCGCATACCCCTCCCCACCCCCCACAACGTTTTGCTATGCTTGTCATTTTGGCACTTAGCGGCATTTAGGCTGCGGCTTTAGCCACATCGCCTCACAGTCTCTCATCTCCATCAGCATCAGCATCAGCATCAGCTTCAGCTTCATCTCTGTCTGGGCCTTTTTTTGTTTTCTGCCCCTGTCTTCGATTACGGCTGGGAAACGCCTAAAGAACTGCTCAGCATCTCTCACTCTCTCTCTCTCTCTCCCTCTCTTTCTCTCTCTTTCTCCCTCTCTTTCTCTATCTAATCGGGTTTTCGGCTAATGTGATCAATATGTAAATGCCGAGTGCGGCTACTTGATATTTTTTTGTGACACAATACACACGTCTTGGTCCCATTTTTTAATTCTTATCGTTATTTTATTCACACCATTTAAGAAATTATCATAATTAAAACTATGATAATCTATATATAATGAAATATAGAGAGAGCAGAAAAGCGTTCAGGAATTCCATTCTGACAGTTGAAAGTTCAGAAATGATAATAGAGATTAGATCAGATGATATGAGAATGGATTTATATGTACAGACAAATGTTGTTAGATAAATATTTATTAAATGTGAAATTGCTATAAAATAAATGAAAATTTATTATTATTTATATATTTTGTTATACATATAATAATATATATAGATAAACATTCATTTATGATTTACCATATACAAGATCAAAGATCTCAGAACTAACTCTCTACAATCCCATTTCCATTTCATGTCTAGTTATAACTCTCTTGCCTTTCCTCACATTTTCATGCATTTTCCTTTGATTTACTCCAGTTTCGAGCAACAGTTTCCGTTCCGATTGCACAACTCTTAACCCAGTTAAGAGTAAACTTGATTTCATATGAGCATCAGTGGGGCCAGAGAGCGGCTCAATTGCCTGGGCGTTGTCCGTGTGGGCGTGTTGATTACATTATTCAATGGAGGTACCAGTTGCCAGCGCTCGTTGAAATGCATTCAGAGTAGTCGCTCAGACTCCAGGCAGGGGCTTTCAGCGCATCAACGAGCTGCTCAGCTCGAGCTGCGGAACAGTTCATGGCTTTTGCAGCTAGGTGTTAATATTGGCACACAACTCGCTTCCAAACTGGGGCTTGGAGCGGCAGCCACACTCATGCGTGTAGAGCCAAAGCAACCTGGGAGTTCCACTCTCTGTTGGCGTTGGTGTCACAGCTCGTCGATGTAGATGTTGTTGCTGTTGTTGTTGTTGTTGTCGTAGGTGCGGAAAGTGTTCCATGAGTTTAGGGTGTAGTCAGCATCTGTCTCCCTCTCCCCCCTCTCTGTCTCTCTTTCTCTGTTTGTGTGGGCAGCAAATAAAAGCGCTAAAACACTTAATGGATTTGGAGCATATAAATGGAGTAGAGCCAGAGCTAGGGATCGCACCAAACAGACTATCAACTGGTAGCTGGGTGCGTCGTCTTCGTCGTCAACGTCGCGTCGTCTATAGAAGATGTCGCTTAACTGCTTTTTGCCAGCTTGTTAGCAAAAAACGCCGCTGGGTGTTGGCCAATCTTTGCAGATCAAATACTGTTCAGCCCTCTCTCTCCCTCCCTCTCACACTCTCTTTAACTGTCATTTACATGCAAATTCACCGTGTGTATGTGTGTGTGTGTGTGCAGTCAAGGTGTCAAACAATGTCAGTGGGAGAATGTGTCTCGCAATTGAAATTTATTTGCACTACTATTCAGTGCTGACAATGCGCCAAGGGACGCCCCACCAAAGAGAAGCAAAGGTGGCAAGGAGGAAGAAGAGGTGGAAGCAGTGCCCCAGCGGCTGACTAGATCTCTTGCGCTCGGCGCGTCAACTCGTCAAGCTCGTCGCGTCTACGACGGCGATGGCCAAGCCTGCACCCAATGCGCCCCAGAGGCAGCTTCTGTCTGTCTCCATCTGCGTCTCCGTCTGCGTCTCTGCTGGCAATTGCTTGGAAAAGGCAGCTAACCAAGAGTCGAGCAAGCTCAGCATTTGCAAAATGTCAATCTGCAGCAGCGCATCAATTCAAGTGTGAAATAAATAGAAACGAATTCAGGTCTTATAGCCTATGCCCCGCACCCAACAAGCTAACCAACATTCTCTCCCTCTATCTCTCTCTCTCTCTCTCTCTCTCTGTGAAGCATTTGCTATAATTTTCGCGCCATTTGCCGTCGACTCGTCGCCGTCTCGACTGTCAGTCGTTGCCAATGGCAAAGCGAAATATGTTGAAAGTATTTACAATTACGCAAAGATTGATTGAAATAGATTTCGGATTGATTGGCTCTCTTGGTATGCACATTGACACAGCTGAAGCTGTTCGGCTCTGAGAAAAAGATCCGCTTGCTGCTTTGTGTGGGAATTGTTTTCGCTGAACTGCAGTTTGCACTTGCCGACGAGTGTCTGGGGACTGATTCTCAGATAAAAGCAAGAGCAGCAGGAGAAGCAGGAGCAGGAGCAGCAGCAGCAGCAGCAGGAGCAGCAGTAGTATAGGTTCCCTGTTTAATTTCTAGTTTAAGCAACTCATCTGCAGCAACAGTGAAACATAGAAAATTTATTCAAATTTTAGTCAATTTATTGACAAGCCCCAGTGATATAGCTATAGCAATTGATTTAAATAAATTACATATTATAAATAAATGCGAGTCAATTTATTATATTTCTCTATTTCCTTAGCTTATCTCTGTGTACTTCCCCGTGCATATCTCGCGCTAAATTTTAACTAATCATAAATTGATTTTGTTATATCATTTTAATATTTAAATAATAAATACAACAAACTTTTCCATAACGTTTAGCTTTATGATCCACTTTCTCTTAGGCAGCCCATTGCTCTAAATGTTTTCCCTGCTCGCAGCATTTATAACGATAAATATGTTAAGCTTGAGGCGCGCATATTGATGTTGTCTTTAACCCAATTTCTCATGGCCCTAACGCGCCCAGTAGACCCATCGAAATGCCCATCAAAGTCGTTCATCGAAATATTTATTTGTGTTTATTTAATATCGTCAATATTTCTCATGCGCTCCACATGAAAAAAACATCTGATTCAAATACTTTAGATAATTATTATAAATTATGCTATACATGTTGTTGTTGCTCTACATTTGATTTATTTAACATAGTATAAGGGCAAAGGCTAAACATACAAATTTGCTAATTGTGACTAATAACTCGAAGTTGAAATTCGCTATGATCGTACAGGTATATAGTAAATATGTAGTATATATATATATATTTGTTTATAGAATTTAAAAATTACAATTTGTAAACTAAGAAATACTTGAAATAATTTGCATATGCCTATTAAAGAAATTTTAGGTATTCATATTATAGGTGTATACATATATATATTTGTATTATAACTATATTATGCTAGAAATATAACTAAAAACTTGGCTTATAGATTAACAAATTCCACTATTCATTATGCAAACGATACAGATTGTCTTTTTATTTTATTTTATTTGTGTGTGTGTGTGTTTTTTTTTTTTTTTTTTTTTTTTTTTTTGCATAATTTTGCAACAACTTGGGCTGATCTCGTTTCGATTCGATACGATTTCATTCCTCGTCATCGTCATCGTTCCGAAATACGCGCAACATTTCAAATTTGTTGTGCTTCTTCTTCTTCTTCTTTGTTAATGCGTTGCATCTAATTAAGAACTCGACTCGCGCCGTTTGTTATACTTCTTTTCAGATCGAACATATGCTAATTTGTTCACAATTCTTGCCATTTCGTTAGTTGTTTTAAACGATGTGATAACATCTTCAAAAGCGAATAAAAATTAAAATACAAATAAAAACAATAACAAACGGCTCGAACCTTTAACTTAACATTGAACGCGAGATTTCTTAATTGTTGTTGTTGTTGTTGTTGTTGTATTTGGCTGGCGGGTTTGAAGTGGAAGAGGTTGTAGGAGAGGAAGGTGAAGGTGGTCAATGGTACATTTTATACATAATTTAGATAACACTATGCAACAAATGTTTTGCTCAACATTTGAGATTTCTCTTATGAATTAAATATCTCAATTATTTTATGAGTTAATTGAGCTGAATTTAGAAAAAAAAGTATTTAAATACTTGTTAACAACAATTTTATTAATTTTTTTTTTTAATTTATTAATATAAATTTGGTTTTTGGGTCCACTGTATGATAAAATAAACTGAAATATACTAAAAATAATTGAACTAAATATATATATATATTATAAAAAATGTAAAGTTTAAACAGAAATTTTAAATTAACTCAGTGAAATTTAAATTTTAACTTCAATGGAAATCTCTTCTATATTCGCGCCCATATTTTGTTGCATAGTGTTACGTCTAGCGGCAAACTGTCGCCATTTTGTCTAACTTTGCGCGCTTATCGATCAAACCTTGTTGGTTAAATCGAGGGCCGTCGAGGTGGCCAACTTCACGGGCAATTCGGCTGCGGGTGGGGAGCTCAGGCGCAAACGCTTCGAGCCGTTCGACTCCTGGAGCAGCTCGTTCAGCTTGCGTTTGATGCAATCGTTGGCCTCATTATCACTGGTGTTGCTATTGTTGTTGTTGTTATTGTTAGTATTGTTATTGTTGTTGTTGTTGTTGTTCATGTTTTGGGTTTGCTCTATGCTGGTCTTGACCGTCTCCGTGGTGCTGTTATCCTCGAGCTCAGCTTGCGTGGACTCCCGCTCCTCGGCGTCCTCCTCGTCGAGGGCTCTGGCTTGGAGTACCCCATCCGCAGATGGCTCCCTCTCAGCAGCTGGCTCATTATCGCTGCAGTTCGCTGCATCGAGCTGCGCGCAGCTGCTCTTAATACTGCTGCAACTCCGGGAGCTGGAGCCGGAGCTGCCCGTGGTCTTCATGCTCAAGTCAATGGGATTGTCCTGCGCTGCGGCTTGCCCTTCCGCCAGTTGCTCCGACTGCTGCTGGGCTGGCGAACGTGGCGGCGTCATGGATACCACCAGGTCCTCCTCATCCTCTTCCTCGTCCTCCGGCTCCAGTTCCAGTTCCAGTTCCTCGTCGGCCGCCTTGTCGCTGCTTCTGCCCGTGCCGCGCTCCTCCTCGTCCGCTTCGCCGTTGCTTTGCCTGCTCTTCCCGCGCTCCCGCCCGCTCTCCGAGTTGGGCGTGACCAGCGCCGATATGGAGTAGTCCTGCTTGCTGTGCGGCGGCAGCTTCGTCGCCAGCGGAGGCGGACTGTGCTGCTGCGACTTGAGCACTGCATCCAGGTAGAAGCGTTTCGTCAGCTCGTCCGCAGCACTCGTCGCTGTTCTGCTGCCATTGGGCAGTAAATTGTTGTTGTTATTGTTGTTGTTGTTGTTGTTGTTGCTGCTGCTGTGGTTGGGACTGAGAGCGGACTCCTCTTTGAGGCCGGCGTGGCCAAAGGGCGACGAGGCGTGCAGCTGGGGCGCAAAGCGCTGCCCGCTCGCATTGCTCGAGTTGAACAAGTGCTGCACCGCCGCAGCAGCCACCGCCGCCTGCTGCTGCTCGGGCGTGGGCTTCAGCAGGCCCTGGTGATGGGAGTAGAGCGCAGGATGGTAGCCGGGAAAGAGCAGATGTGAGGGCGGCAGAAATGCGGGCGGTGGCATCACGGGCATCGAGCCGAGACCCGGGAACGGCAATGGCAAAAACGGCGCCAGCTCCTTGCGCAGCTGTGGCGGTCGCCCGGGCGCTGTGCCGCCCTGCGTCGCTTGGCTGGCATCGCCGCCGGCGCTCTGCTTGCCCGCGCCCTGCAGCTGCAGCAGCGAGTTGCCGCGCACGCTGCTCACCTCCACGGAGCTGTCCGAGTTGTGGGAGTCCGGCGAGCTGACCGACGGCGAGGCGACCAGCGCTGGATGCTTGATGCCGCCATAGTCGCCGCTGGCATCCAGGCCAAGCATCATCAGCTCCTCTTTGCTGCGCGGCGGACCCGTTGCATACAGGCCCGGATAGCCGCCCGTCGCATGCCCCAGCATGCCGAGCGCCGCAGCCGCTGCCGAGGACGCCGGCCCGCCCGGCTTCACACAGCCATTGGAGGCGCCACCGATGGCCGCGTTGCCCGCCGCGCCCGCCTGCTGGCTGTTGTGGTGTGCCGCCATGGCAGCCACCGCCTGCTGCTGCTGCTCCTGCAGCAGGCAGTGGATCTTGAACCAATTGGAGCGGCGGCCATAGCGCGAGCCGCTCTTCGACATGCCCACCATGAGGCACTTCTTCAGGCGGCACGCCTTGCAGGCCGTGCGGTTCTTTTTGTTGATGATGCACTCGCCGTTGTTCTTGCAGTCCGATATGGAGGACAGATTGTTGTACGAGCGGCCGAAGAAGGACTGCAAAGTAGAGAGCGGAGTGGAAACGTGGATTAGTAATGGGAGCAGAGCGAAGAGCTCTTAACTATCTGTTTCATTCCATGTTTGTTTCATTCTCGAGCATCTCAACGACAACTTGAGCTCTCTTCAGTTCCCTTTGCCATTTCTACCTCTTCCAGTCACTGATCTATTTGTTTGCTGCTTGATCAACTGTTGCTTTACTTTAAACTCACTCAACTCTTATTTGCTTTCCTACTGCAAATACCCAGAAGGAGCTCAAGTATGGCTGATACCCTGTGCTGTATTATATAAAGGAATGAGGGCCTCTGCGTTGAAAGTGTCAGATCAACGTAGTCGTTGCTCTTAGACTAGACTATGCAGGGGGTATCGTTTCTTATATATACAGTAATACAGATTTTTTGATTTACCCTTAATTTATTAAATGATAGAAGAGAGCATCATATCTCCATAGCTTTTGCTCTTTATTTGTGTAGCTCGTGCTGGGTATCTACCCACTCATACAGCTTCAAAGTATTGGTTATACCCTTTAACTATCATAGGAAATAAAAGATCATATTACTCTCAGACATGGTAGATCATTCATTCAGTTTATAAGTATTACTGATGATTTCTTCTTCTTTCTTTCTATCTCTCTCTCTCTCTCTCTCTCTCTCTTTCTCACTGTCTCAGAGCTTCCTTATATAAGAAAATTTATTGTGGCTATTGCATTTCAATATCATGTATGGGGTATCATCTAGTTGAGCATAGTCAACTCTTCATCAACTACAAGCTCACCCTCTCTCTCTCTCTATCTATCTCTCTTTCTCAGTTGCTTTTCATCGCCCTTAAGCCGTGATGTCATTCAGCAGTAATATCTCATTAAATTTTTATGATGATTCATCACCGGCTGCTGCTGCTGTTGTTGTTGTTGTTGTGCAGTCTTAAATGCACTGCCAAAAAAACTGAGTAAAAAGCGCAGCGAATCGACATGCAACATGAACATGATCCACAGGCCAGAGTCAGAGCCAGAGCCAGAGTCAGAGCCACCTACACCTACGAGTGCAACATTAACCGTTGGCTGGGCCACAATCAATTGCAACAAAGCAAACAAACAATTTAATTCAATGCGGCACGAAAAAGACTACAACATGTTGCCGTTGACGTTGCTGTTGCAGTTGTTGTTGTTGCTGTTGCTGTGGCAAGCAGCATGTTGCAAAGGTTATAGGCTGTGCAACACTTATGCCAAGTTGCAATGTTGAACGTAAATCACAGCGCAGCGTCGCAATCAAGTTGGCGTACGGACAAAACACAGACGGACGAGAGAGACAGACAGACGAGGGAGACGAGACAGACAGTCAGCTCTGTCAGTATTCAGTCAGTGGTTGTCGTAGGTGGAGCTCGAGTCGAAGACGAAGTTGCAGTTGCAGTTGCAGTTGTTGTTGTTGTTGTTGTTGCCGTGCAGACGCGCAAATCGAAACAGAAACAATGCGAAAATCCACTTTTAAGGTTAATTGGGCATCAAGATTACTGGGTCGGAAATGGAAATGAGAGTTGCGAACGGACGGACGGACGCACGAACGGGGGGATCTTCGTATGGCTATGTTTATTTATTTTCTGTTTTCTGTGCGCTTCTTTCGGCTCTGCGTTTTCAGTTTCAGTTTCGTTTGAAAGAGCAGCAGCAGCAGCAGTAGCAGAGGCACCAACAGCAGCGTCAGCAGCAACAGCAGCGGCAGCAGCAGCAGCAGAACCGGACGAACTTACCGCGCCGGCTATTTACAGGCAATTTTGTGCGCCAAAGCGGATTCACTTTTGTTTGTTTTCTGTCTGTGCGCCCCTCTCCTCATCTCTTCCGCCCCCCTCTCTTTGCGATTCTCAATCATCGGCGGCTCATGGCTGTTAGCCTAGTGCTGCATCATCATTCAAGCGACGCGCTTCGTTTCGTTTTGGGGCCTTTAGATTTGGGGTGGGCGTCAAATTAGCCGGCCCACGCCATGGCGCACAAATCAAATAATGCTGACCCACAAATTGTACGTTAGTTGACCTTTTTTTTTTCCTTTTCGTTCTCCCAGCCAAACAAAACGAGAGAAAACCTCGATCCGACACCGCCCCCGCCCTCGCTCGTCTCCTGCGACGAGTGCAGCGTATTCCTAAGGCATTTAAAGTACTCGTGTTTAAATCAATTATGCATTTTGTGGAGCGCTCTTTTTGTTTAACTTTGACCTTAGCCTGAGGCGTTCTTTGTTGTCGTTTATCTTATTGCTGTTGTTGTTGCTGTAGCTATTGTTGTTGCTGTTGCTGGTGGTACTCGGTTAATATTGCTCGTAATGAACTCAACATTCCAGTTTTGGTATGGCACCATTTACTCTACGGCTTTGTCACGATGCGGCCAGCGATTTATTATGGAATGCCAATAGCGATCGATAACTATTATTCATATTGGCAGGGAGGCGCCGAGTGTCGATTACTATTATTAAGTTCATGGAAAATTATTCGCATTTTATGCTATCCAATTGGTCTCTGTAGCATCTTTCACTAACTAATCCGTAATTGGCATAATTGGGTCTATCGATAACATAATTATATCGATTTGGACAAATGACTAGTGAAACTATTGTTAGCTGTCGAATATCGAGAGCAAGTCATTTATGGCATATGCAATTGATTACACTAATCGATAATATTACATGTATTAAATTTTATCGATAACAAAAGTCGATATATATAGTAAATAAGCTAGTTTGACAACACAAACAGAGAATACAGTATTATATTCATAAATACATATCAATCTGAATAAGCTCTAACGATAAGTATCGATAAGAAAATCGATAACATAGCTGTCATTCAGTTTATTTCATAAATTGATACACACAATCCCTAGCACTAGTCGCACACATGCAATTAATATGTTCAACCTACAATTATCGATAACTTTAAATTATATCAAGCCTTTACTCACCTTACATCCCTCGCATGTGAATGCCCCAAAATGAAATCCAGCTGCCGGCTCGCCACAGACTTTGCACGTCTGATTCATCTGAAAAGAAACGGAGCAGACAATAACATTTATAAGACATTGGCTGGCGTGATCTAAATCTGCTCCTAGACTAGTGCTGTCTCTCTCTCACACTTGCGTGCAAGGAAAAAAAGCAAAGGAAAAAAACGAAAGCAATAAATTCATAAAATTTCAATTAAAAGCAACAGCAAATCATGACACGAGCATCTAGCCAGAATAAAGAGAGAGAGAGAAAGAGGGACACAGGGAGAGCGAGAGAGAACTGAGAGCAAGTGCGCCGCCAGCGAAATTCACACGCATTAAAAATTAAAATGCAAACATAGTTTGTCATATCGCAAAATTGGTATCAAGACGAAGTAGAAGGAGAAGCCGAAGCCGAAGAAGAAGAAAAGCTATGGAAAAACCAGCCGTACGGCAATTGGAAATGGAAATGGACGATGTTGTGGCACAAAGCGCTGGATGCTGCCGCTTGCTGGGGCATAATAAAATATGAAGATGAAATCAAATGAAAAATTGCCCCAGAGCACACAGCCAACATCGTAGCTGGGCGAGCAAACAAGCAGCGTGTAGAGCATTTGCATTTATATGGCCAGTTGGCTGTTGGCCATGTTGACTGCGACGGCGACTGCGGCTGTGACTCTGTGGCTGTTGCCTGTTTCGCTGTTACCAATCGCGCCTCTTGTTTCCTTTGAACTGTCTCGCGCCATAGACCTTAGCAACTTGTTGCCAAGGTACACCACTCGTATATTTGTTTATTTATTGCGAGCGAAATGTTTATCAACAAATTGCCATCATTGTTGTTACTGCTGTTGTTGTTGTTGCTGCTATTGTTGTTGTTGTTACGTTGCCAGCTTTATTTGGTTTTGGGGCTTGGCGGCTCAGTTGCGTTTTTTGGTTTTTGTTTTTGGCTCGCTGCACTTGTAGCTTTAACTGGAGCAAAACTCTGTTGACACGCACACACACGCAAGGCTGGAGCATGATTCGTGGGAGACTTGAAGAAGGAAGTCTGTGTGGAGTGGGAGAAGGTCATAAGGCAAACAGATATGCTCTATATGGTTGACTCTGGGCTTATGTGACAGGCAAATACGCTCATGCATATATGCCTGAAGATGGGTCATGTCAGCTGCAGCCAAAGAGAATTATCATATTCTAGGAGTATATGAGAGAGCATTTACCTCCCATATTAACTCTGTTCTTATTTTAATTCTGCATATAAAAATATACAAAATATATATTATATTAATAAAAAGTAATACGACATAATCTCTCAACGATATATTTATATCAAATATTAAATATATATAAAAAAAAATAATTTTAAATAGATCAAAGATGTATTTAAATAAAATGTGAAAAAAAAACTTAAAGTCTAACTAATATATTATATTTTTTCTCAAATAATTTATCAAATATATTCCCAAAGAAATCTTTACATTAAAAATAAAATATTAATGAAAAGGATCTTAGCTAAGTCTCACGAATATATCACTTTTATTCTCAAAGATATCTGTATATAAAATATAAAATCCATAAGATTAGGATCTTAGTTAAATCCAACCACTATATCATATGGCTGCCAAGCAGCTTCCATTCCGGTCCTCATTTCGAGCCATTCACCAATGTAAAATTTATTCAGAGCAATTTGCCATAAATAATACAATTATGAGCGCAATAACAATTGCAGCTCAAGGATCGCCAGATCTAGTATCTTTAGTGGCTCTCATTAAAGCGAAATTGTTTCAGGTGGCTGCAGCAGGTGCTTGCACATGCGCAGTCGACTCGACGTTGAGTGCAGTTCACATTTTGGCTGGGGGATTTATGTTTTATAGCACCAATTGCCCCACTGTCAAATCGCGGCAATAATTTTTCCCATCTGTCCAAACAATTGGCACATTACAAAGTAGAGAAAGCACTCAACACATTCACTTTTGGCCAGCATCCCAACCTACGAACTTGGCCAGACTGTCTGAGGGGGAAGTGGGACCAGAGTGGGGCGAGTGGGGCGAATGGGGAGTAGGGAGTGAGGCAGATATCGGAAAGAATGCACCACACCAATTGGCTTAGTTCGCTCAGTTCCTTGGCTTGTTCGGCCTGTAAAACATGCTAATCTGATTTCGTGTTATGTGTTGAGTTTGGCTCCCCAGCCGCCGCAGCTCCGATCGGCCGGCCGGCGGGCCTGCCGTCCGGCTGACTGTCCGGAGGCCAGCCATTTGTTCCGACCGGGTAGGAAATAAATTTTGTACGTTTAGGTTTCATAAAGCGTCGTCGGCTCGGCTGCGGCTCTTGTTGTTGCTTGGATTAATCGACAAATAAAAATCACATAAAATAAATTAAAAATTATGAGTTTCAAGTTTCAACAACCAGCGGATTGGCAGCAGATTTAGTTTGATTTTAAATCACACAAAAAAAAAAAAAAAAAAAAAAAAAATAATAAAATAAAGAGGAAGAAAATGTGAAAAAATACAGCGAGAATAATAACAAAGTTGCTGAAGCTGCGATCTGTCCGTCTGTCTGTCCGTGCGTCTGCGCCTGCCGTGAAATTTATGCAGACAATGTGCAATATTAAAAAGCGATAAACATTTATTTTACAACAGACAAGTGACACCAGGTAAGTCAGTGAGAGGAAAAGAGATAGAGAGAGTAAGAGATAGAGGAAGGGAGAGAGAGAGGGGAAGTTATTGAGAGAGGGCAAACAGAATATTGCTTAGTTCTAGCTTTTAGCAGCCGCTCGTTAAGCTAACTGAAAAATATATACCTATATATAATATAATTGTATACATATTTACAGCATATACTATATGTTTTAGCACACACGATAATTTGAGTGTAGCATCGGTACAGGTTACCAGATTCACTCAGCTGCTGTTGTTGAACTTGTTTGGAGCTGTGTTTGAATTTATTTAAAGTGCCAGCAAATGATTTGCGAGCTCATTTAAAAACCCAATTTCCATTTTAGCCTCATTAAATGAGAGTTGATTCATGTTTACTAAGTTAAACAGGTGGCAGATTAGGGCTAAGATAAGGGAAGAGAGAGAGAGAGAGAGGGAGCGATATATATGTAGATAGAATGAGAGAGAGAGAGAGGAATATATACAGACAGAGAGAGAAAGTGAGAGAAAGAAAAGGGGAAATGAAGAAAAGGAATGATAGGCAGAGAAGAAATGAGAGTGAGGGCGAGAGAGATAGAAATAATATAAAGAGAAGGAGAATGAGACACACTTAGACACAGAGATAGAGAAAGACTGAGAGAGGGAGATAGAGTGATACAGGGATAGAGATAGTGGGAGATAGAGTGAGAGTGAGATATAGAGGGAGATTGAGAGATATATGGATATAAAAAGAAAGATAGAGAGAAAGAGAAAGCCGGTCTAGTGGGCAGCGAGAGGGAATGAGAGAATAAAAGAGAAGAGAAAAGGGTGAACAAAATCAGAGGAAGGAGAGGAAGGGGGATAGAGATGTGTATAGATATATTAAAATAGAGAGCCAGACAGAAACAGTACTGACTGAGAGATATATAGTAAGGTAGAACAAACCGAGAGACATCGAAAGAGATAAGGATAGATATTGTGAGACCATATTCTAAAGGTCAGCGTTGAAGCAGTTCGCTTCGAGACTTAACAGAATGCTTCACAGCTATCGAGCTAATAATTAACTAATTAACTTTTAAGGAAGTCCGAATAGAAACAAGAGAGGAGACAAGATGATTTTTAAATGTCCGCCTATAATATCTGTCACCCCATTTAATTCTATATATTTGTGAATAATCAAGAGTCTTAAAAAGCACATTTAACGCCACCGTTTGAGAATCACCATCATATCATGTTTCATGTTCATATTTATCGAATGACTTCATTATAAGCAGACCATTTGGTCAGGCGACCCACTAATTTGGGTACAGGTTTTCGTATACAAATTTATTAGCTCTGCCCATTGCATAATGCCCACAAGCCAACAACAACAACAACAAGCTCTAACAAAAGCCAATCTCTGATCGCTGCTAACAACATGTTCCAGCCACAATTAGTGTGGCTATTAAGTGAAAGTGTTATAAATTATGCAACAAATACGTGAAAACAATGTGCGAGCGACGTATAATGCCGTTTGCTCGGGCTGTGTGTGTAGAACAAAGAGGCAGCATCGCAATTTGTCAAACACCTGATCTGATCAACACGCGCCTCCTCCTCCTCTCCCTCCCCCTGCTCTAGCACTCCTCCTCGCCCAATTGGCATATTGATGAGTTCAGCTGCAGCCAATTTATTTTAATTAGTTGGTATATTTTGAGCGTAGTTTTGTCTACAAAAAAGTACCGAATACGCTGAAGCGCTTAAAGCCAACATTGAAAATGAAAACAAGAGTGTGAACAGCAAAGAGCTACCCTGTAAATGAGAATGGGTGGGACTGATTCACATATTTTAAATGAATAATCTAGCAAAAATGATTTCTCAAGAGATATATTTCTCTATATTATAGGGTATTCATATTGCAGCTGATTGGATTAGTTCAGACTTCAATTTCCCCCATCGTCATTTGAGCAGCGGTGAGAACGAACTAATATCCGTACACACATATGTGTTGTATAAATTTGTGGATCTTGTTGATTTTGTATGTGATTAATTATAGCTGCCTTCTGTCGTTGTTGTTGTTGTTGCTATTGTTGTTGCTTGTTTCTTGTTAACCTTAAGTCAAACAAAAATAGCAAGTAGAATTTTTTAATATATCACGGGCAGCGATGATGCAATGTGTAGATACATATATCAAAAAAATATTTACAAAAAAAAAAAAAAAAAAACTTATACAAAATTCAAGCTCATTATCATATGAAATTATTAAAAGTAATTCACTTAAAAAATATGTGAAATAAAACAACAACGGCCAATAAACTAAAATTAAATTACAGGCACGTTTACTCCAGTTTCAGCGCAGCTACTCGCCGCGCCGAGCAGAGCCGAGCTGAGCTGAGCTAAGTGCCATTAACAAGGCTTCGCCAGCTTCGCTTTTAGCCAAATAAGCGCAACTCAAAA